GCAGGATAATCCTTCTACATCTGGTAAGAATTATTTCAAGTATTTAAAGTTTGGTATCCCATCAACTATTACTACAGTTTTTAACTGTAGCAGTTTAATCTCTTACCTTGTCAGAGTCTTCAGCATTTGCTTTGTTAAGTTCTAGTGAAAATACCAGGTGGATAAGTGCTTTTTAACTTTCTCTTTGGGTTGGCTGGGTAAATCCTGGTGGATGAGTAAGGCAACTGTGAGAATTGCTTATTCTCAAAAAGGCAGAAAATGCATCTGAAGCCCAAACTGTTCTGTCTTAACAGTATGATTTTGTAGTGGAGCACTGCTGAAAACTTAGCAAAACTGTGTGGCTCAAAGAACAAAGTAAGCAGATATAAGTGCTCATGAAATCACTCTGAGAAACTACTCTGTCACTGTTACTGCTGCCAATCACCCATCCCCCTTCCGTTCTTTAAAGCTCTGATACCAAAATATACCAAATGGATCCCTAGTCTAGTATCCTGCATTACCTTGGCAAGCGGAATACCACAATGCTGTGTAAATCTAAAACAGAACTGGAGCAAGAACCTCTATCTAGAAAATGGCATTTGTCATCAGGACTTTTTAAACATGCTCCTGTGAAAGAAAGCTTTTCCCTCTGCTGTGATCCTGACTTGTTTTGTATGATCAATATTGCATAAATCCTCTGCCTGGCATCTTTTTTCACAAAGACCTGGTGTGAATTACAGTCATATGAATAAATACTCCGCAATCTAAAGAGCAATGGAAATTTTAAGTAGGGTTACACAACTAATAGCTTGATTTCCTCCCAGGTCTTCCAGTTAGTCAGATTGGCTCAGAATGCATGTAGCATAGTTAGGCAGACACTGCTTCTTTGCTCCACTTTTTCCTGTTCAGATGTTTGGATTGATGTATGTGTATCAAGGGAGTTGTTTTCACATGTCACATATCTGTATGAAGCTATGTTGATGTTTCTGCTTTTATTTTGCAGGATCACAATCCTCGGTTTTCACTCCTGTGCCTGCTTTCCCCATCTTAGAATCTATGTGTCTAAGAGCACTACATGATGACCATGAAAAGCTGGATGTGAATATTGAAACTTCAGAAGTCGCTGTCAAAGAAAAAGCAGAATTGGATTCTCAAAGGGCAGGGGAGGAGGAAGGTTTGGAACCTGCTAAGAAGAAACTAAAAGCAGGCTAGTATACCTCAGTATTGCACAACCTATGCTGCCCTGTTTTAATCTTACCATTGAAAGTTAGTTTAAAAAACTTAATTAGAAACTTAAAGATATGTCCATTTTTCATAGAAGTCCAGTGAGATTAACAGAAACATAAGAATCTATGCTTATTTTTCTTCATTGGTAAGAAATACATTCAAAATGCGTGCATACCGAATCTTGAAGGTCTTAAAAGGTTATGTTAGTAGGAGATAAGTAACTTTTTCCTCCTCCCAATGCAATTTTTTGTTTTAAATACAAAACAAAATTTTGTTTTGTATTAAATACAAAAAGCAAAGCCACCATCCCAAATCGAGTCAAAAAAGCTTCGAAGACTACATACTGTAGAATCTTCTGTCTTTGTAGATGAAGGTGCTTGTCCAAATCTTCCACCAGAAGCTCCAAGTGAATGCATAATTAAAATTGGCTCTGAAGATGCCAAAACATCAAATGTGAAACCGGACAAGATGGAAGAAACACTAACTTGCATTATCTGCCAAGAACTGCTGCATGACTGTGTCAGGTATGTCTGATTGACAAAGGCTGTAATTCTGTGGTACTAATATATGAAGGTTAGTGACAACTGTTTGAGGAGGCCAGGATATTTAGGGTTTTCACGAGCCCTTCTGACTCCCTTCCCCCTGCCCCAATCTATATAGTCGCATCAATTCTAAACGGTTTCTTGAATCTTATGAATGTGTCTGACAAGTAAAAGATTTATGGTTTTATTCAGTTTCTTTCATTGTTTTCATGTTTGTGTTTCCCAGCTTGCAGCCTTGTATGCATACTTTCTGTGCTGCCTGCTACTCGGGATGGATGGAGAGGTCTTCTCTGTGTCCAACCTGTCGTTGTCCAGTAGAACGTATTTGTAAAAATCACATATTGAACAACCTAGTTGAAGCTTATCTGATCCAGCATCCAGGCAAGTTGATCAGTGTGTGTACTGTGACTGATTAGGCCATCTAAATTCAGGTACTTCTGAAAAATATATTTGAATATGGATTAACTTTGATCATGGCCTCTTGAAAACAAAACTTAAGTTGTCTGATACTGCACTTCCATTAACAGAGAGGAGAATTTAACTAAGAGCTTCTCTAACTCTTGCTATCCAAAAAAAAGTTTTATGGAAATGAAAACACAACAATTGTAACTGTGTTAATAGAGTGGGGATAAGGGATGTGAGCTGTTCTTTTCTCTTTAAATCTGAATTTGGTTTTCATGCCAGATAAATGTCGGAATGAGGATGATGTACGTAGCATGGATGCTAGAAACAAAATCACTCAAGACATGTTGCAGCCTAAAGTGCGGAGATCTTTTTCAGACGAGGAGGGAAGTTCTGAAGATTTGTTGGAATTGTCAGATGTAGATAGTGAATCTTCAGATATCAGGTATGTCTGTTTAAGCTGTGTGCTCTGTTAGATTTACTGAATGTTTGAATGCACAAACTCACAAACTCAGCCAGTTTCACAAACACTGTCATTGCTGGGAATGTTTCTCTGATCATTGCCAGAATTAATCTCATTTTTGTATTTGGGTAAGTTCATTCTTAGCAGTAATTATGTTGACAGTTCTACTGACTATCCTACTGAACCTTGGTCGTTCAATAAAAATCAATTAAAATTAGAAGCCCAGCAATATTCAGTCAATGACCCACCTGAATTACCCTACATTGTGCAACAGCTTCATGTCAGATATATGAAATTACCTTTTCCATTTACCAATTTGCTGTTGCTTTGGAGAATACATATCTCTGGCTAAGATCCTGTGAGGAATCCATGACTCTTTCAGTGCAGCTTGCAATGTTTGTAATTTCCTATGTCTTTGGACTGCTGCTTTCACTGGGCCTATGGTACTGAAGCAGCTGATTCTTGACCTAGAAATTCCCAGGCATCAAAATAGCATCTCTTCTCTTCCAACAGCAAACATATTATTATTTTTTTTTGCAGTGTGTCTAGAGGGGAACAGAAGAACTTTTCCTCTGCATAAATATTCCAGCTTTTTTCCTTTCTTCCCTGTTTATCTCACTTCCAGTCACATCACTCTTTTAAAAATTATTTTTATTTTTTAACTACTTGGGAAGTAGTAAAGCCACAAAGTTTTTGGCTGTTTCAAAAGCAGCTATCTTCAGAGCTGTGAGGTACTGAGTTATATAAACTTCATATGTTATTGGATTAAGAAATTCCAGATTTAAACTTTGAAAGTATGACCAGCCCTGCCTAGTACAGGGATATGAGTTATATTTGTACTTGTTTGGTGTGATTTCCTGTGACCTTATCATTCTTTCAGTCAACCATATATAGTGTGCAGACAGTGCCCAGGGTATAGGAGACACTCTGTTCCAACTCTGCCTGGTGCAGGCCAAGAGACAGAAGCAGGAGGAATGCAAGCACTGGGAGATGCACCATCTACATCAGCCAACTTCCCTGCAGGTCAGTGTCATGGAATCTTCTCAGAAGTGTGACAATAACATGCTGCAACTCATGAGTTCAGACCTGCTCTCCTGATGCTGCCAGAGTAACACTTCACATGGGTGTCTATGCAAATATCATGAGATTTGACCAGGCTTTTTCTGTGGTTGTCCAGAATAGATTGCTGATGGTTGATAGTTCTTAAACTGTTCCACATATTGAAATACTTTACACACCCACATAGTTTGGAAGTTTGAATTCCATTTTTCTGCTCTTTTATAATATCTTTATTAAAATTATATTGCTTGCTTGTTACTATCAGATTTATGTTGCTAATATTACCTAAGATTCTGAGTCCAGATTTCAGTTGTGTACATTGTTCAGTCTATTCTTTTTTCTTTTTCTTCCCCCTGTTTTTAACTCCCCTAGCTGCCCAGGAATATGTGTGTCCTGCTCAAGGAAGTCATGTAATATGCACCTGCTGCTTTCAGCCAATGCCCGACCGAAGAGCAGAGCGTGAACAGAATCCTCATGTTGCTCCTCAGCAATGTCTGTACTTTTATTTATTTCCTAGTTATTTACTTATTTATTTTTAATGTTGGCTATGGAAGTAAATCTCTCATTTTGAATTAAACTTAAGTTTACTTTGAAGAGTGTTCTTTATTTGAACTTTCTTTTTCTGGACTCCTGTAGTGACAGCATGAAAGAATCTTCCTTTAGGAAATTTATTATTCTCAATAGAATGTATTTTAAATGAGAAAGCTGTACTTTTAAAACCAAGTTTATCAGGACTTTATTGTTTATTTATAAGAAAAAAACCTGTTGAGTTTTGTTATGTGCAGGTCCTAACAGGGTTGGGGTTTGTTGTGTTGTTTTTTTTTATTTTACAGGTACAGTTTGTCTGCAACCCTTCTGTCACTTATACTGGGGCTGCACTCGGATGGCATGTTTTGGCTGTTTGGCACCATTCTGTGGTACTGTGGAATAATCTATTTCTTATGAGCCTGCTTTCTTTGCAATACTGTCTGTCTGTCTTGAGCTTTAGGTAATTTAAGAAAGGTAATCATTAGTTTGTTAGCACAGACATGCAAAATGAAACAAAGGCTGTGTCCTCACATCACAAACATAAAAGATTCTTGAGTGGTATGTGTCTTAACTTTGAGAGGATTTAATTTCTTGTCTTCGTACTATATTGGGTTTGAAAACTACACTTGTTAAGCACATTGCTTTCACATATGAAAATAATTATGGTATATTTCAGCGTACTGAGAAAATAATACATATCAATGCAAGAGCACTAACCATCTGATGTTAATTGATTAGAAAAGAACCTTACCCTGTTAGGTATGCACAGTTCTGAAACTGCAGGCTTTAGACATTTTCAAAAACCAATTTGGAACAGCTGAACCGACTCAGCAGCAGTTTGAAGCTAAGAGAATGGTTTTAATAGCACTGTTAATTTGTGGAGATTAATAGTACTGTTTGTGGACTAAAAGTGAAACTGTAAAATCTCCGTGTCTTGGTTTTGCCACTGTCAGTTCTGTATCACATGCTTTAGCATATGTTGAATACAGTAATTCACTTGGTGCTCACATGAGTCTGTGCATGTTATTTCAGGAAACAGAAGTATCTTCAGAAAATGTGTGAGGGCCATGGGGTTGGGAGATTAAACAGTAACTTTTCTTCTTGTTCTCATTAGAAATAAATCTTGGTGATAAGTGTTTAGATGGAGTCTTAAATAACAACCACTACGAGTCAGATATTCTAAAGGTAAGGTTAAAAATCATTATGTATGATGCATAATAATAAATGTACACAGTTTAAGATGTACTCAGTCATGAAATTATAGTGGTGTGCTGGCTAACAGCTACAGTGGCAGCATTGTGTCACCTGATTCTAAAAGGCAAATCTAATGAGTCCTGAATGCTCAGCTGGGCCAAAGTTACAGTTATTGTGTCTAGATTGGAAGTATTTTGGGGTGATAATTTCGCTCTTTCAGCCTCTGTGTAAGAAGGTGTTTTATTCTAGAGATGCACTCCATTTAGCATCCACTCTTCCTGTACCACCCAAAATAACAACAATTTTAAAAAAATCACTTTCATGCAATACTAATTTCTCTGATGTGTATGTCTGGCAGGTGCCAAGGCCAAACTTCTACACCTAACTTCTGAATTTGAGCTTAAATGGCTGATAAACACAGTATTCAGATATGTTTGGTTGTTAAATCATCAAATAATTTTACTTGTATGAAGTATTTGCTAGGAAAGCTGATTTTTACAGTTTAAAGTGTAATACCAAAACAATTAAAGGAAAAATAATTCAATAAAAGTGTACCAGGAAAACAAGACTTGTTACATTTTATTTTTCCCAAACAAGTTAAGTTTCACACTAGGTTACATGGAAAATATTTTGCCTGTACCATAACAGTTATCCAAATTAGGTAAACTGAATTAAATACTGACTTAAAGTAAATGAGAGTGTGTCTGAAATGCATCTACTTGCATTCTTTTGGTAAGAGGTGTGAAAAAAAGATACGAAGTGGAATGTTTTATTGGTGATACAAAAGTGTCATGCTAATTAAATTAGGGATGCTTAATTTTTACTCGTAATCAGCAACAGCCCATTTAGAAAGCCTAGTTAGATCTAGATTCAGAAATATTTGAAGGTGAATGGCTCGGTCACTCTTTAATGTTGGAGGTTTTTCTAGCTTAAACACTGAAATTGCTCTTTTCAGGATTACCTGGCATCCAGGGGTTTGACATGGAAAAATATGTTAAACGAAAGTCTTTTAGCTCTTCAAAGAGGAGTTTTTATGTTGTCAGGTATGTGTTATTTTTTGTCTGTGTATAACTCTTTGAGTGATATGATCAAGAGGTTTGAAGTTCTGAGTACATAACCAGGGCCTTTGTGACATTTTTGGTAAATCTGTTTTCTCAAGTCCTACAATGACATTGTGTACAACCTGGTTGTCTTTCCAGATTACAGAATTACTGGGAACACAGTGCTTTGCTACTGTTGTGGCCTTCGCAGCTTCCGAGAACTTGCCTACCAGTACAGGCAGAATATTCCTGTTGCTGAGCTGCCAGGTGAGGATTGCTTTGCACAGTAAGGGGGAAAGCAATTGAAAGAGTTATAGTCAGTTTTATTTTTTTTTAACCCGGGGTTTTCAGCACCTTCATGTTGCCTGGTGCAAAACTCTTCTCAGGGCTAATACCTTATGCTGATTGCTTTACTTGTCAGCTGTTAAGTTTACATATAGTTATTGTCAGACTCCCTAATGGAATCTTTCAAGTGTGATTTGTCATCTGTAGGGTAAATATATCTGCCTAGAGAAAAGAGGAATTCAGTAAAAATCCCAACTATATGAGTTGCTGTAATTTAATTTATTTTCCCATTTAGATACATGAAGTTATGCACCTCCTGAACATTTTCACATTTTACCAGTTCTCAACTAGGAACAAGAATGTTTTCATAAATTAATTCTAAATCATCTGTTTGCATTTACAGTTTTAGTATGAAATAGCACACAAGCAACTCCTTCAATCCCAAATCTGTTGGGAAGAGAAGCTCTACCAACAGTTTTAAAATGTTTTTAAATGTTACTTTTATCCATCTAGTTCACTTTGTTAGCCACAGCTTCCTTGTCTTTAACAGTTTAGAACTCTGCTTCTGCTGCTGTGCATCATGACAGTCAGTCAGCCTACCTTCTTTCTCCTTAGTATTGCTTTTCATTTTAGTGGGATGGTCTTCTGAGCAGCTGAGTTATAATGTGTGCTCTTTTTGTAGTGACTGTCACCTCACGTCCTGATTGCTACTGGGGGCGCAACTGTCGAACTCAGGTCAAAGCACATCATGCCATGTAAGTTCTACAGTTTATAAAGTGGTTTGGGGTTTTGTAAAAAAAAAGTTTTGTAAAAAACGTTTTTGGGGACTTGTAAAACATGCCAGAAATTATCTATCTAAGAACTAACTGTTTCAGGGAGGGTGGAAAAATCCTTCTTGCTTTATGAATAATTCTCTAAATTCTCGGTGCAATTTAAGGTAACCCCTCAATGACTGTCAATAAGATCACCTGGGAAGTTGCTTTAATGAATAGTAGATTCTGCAGCATTTTTCTAATTCTACAATGAACATACACACTTAGCCTAATTCCTTTAATATTTTGGATACTATGGGTTGAAAATTACTAGTCTGTGCAGCTAATGCAAGTAGATCATAAGAGAGACTTGTAAAATATCAATCCCTAGTCTCTTACAAATTCAGGGGGCTTTGCCAAATAACTTTCAAAAATAATCTGGGATTTAAGTTGCAGATGTAATTCAAAGCAGCACTGCTATCTGTAACTTCATCTTACAGGACTGTCTGCTTTCCCAGAGGAGGCTTTGTTTTGGAATGTTAGAGAGTTAATTCAGATTCAAAGCACTCAACAGTTGTCTTTGTTAATGTTCTGGTGGATAATTCCATCTAGAGTAGAAATGACTCGGGGTATTTCTGGTTTTTTCCTTCTCCATTTTTCTTTTCTTGTTTTCTTTCAAGCATTATCTGTTCCTAGAACTTCACAGGCTGCTCCTCTTATTTCCTAAAATCCGTAAAAGCAAACAATCCTGTTATACCACTTCTAGTTATCCAGCTACAGGCTATTTTTGTTGAGCTAAATGTTTTGCTAAGTAACTTGGTTTTGCAAACAAGGTTTCTTTTTAATCCTTATCTAATTCAGCAAGAGAAAGGGAATTCAGTCTCTCTTGCTTCATCTCTTCCACATGTATATACAGACCTCAACAGCTCAACTCCTGTTTCAGTTTTGTAGCAGGAGATACATAATCCACTTGCCATTTCCATAAAACCTAAATAATACAGACTGAAAAATCTTACCTTTTTCTTTCCAGAAGAAGATTCCATGCTGGTGAAAGAACATGTTTATGTTGAAATATATTATTAGCCTGGTTAATTCTAGTTCCTAGTGACTTGTATAAGGCTGTCTACTAAAAATTACTGATGTGTCACAGGGCAAAATTTATTTGCTGGTTCTTGTTGTAATTGCCTTCTGAGTTTGATGTATGCAGAAGTATAGAGGAGTTCTTTTAATAACAGGTTTTCTGTGTGCATAATAAAACCAACAAGGATTAGGCAGAAGAGATGTTGAAAATCTTGTTATAGATAATAGAGTAGTAGAGCACAATCTAAACAGGTTCTGAGAAACAGATACGTTAGTGTGCAAATGTTCTTCTTTAAAATGTTTAACATTTAAAATACCCCATGAAAGATGGTGACTCTTGTTTTGTTGCCTGACTTCTGACAACTTGGTTGCATTCTAATACTACTTTTTTTTTTTCTTTTTCAGGAAATTCAATCACATTTGTGAACAAACACGGTTCAAGAACTGAATACTTGTCATCTGTAGGGAGAGGACAAAAACTTGTTACACTGCTTGTACAGTTTAAGGTTCCAGGGGATCTTCTCAGTTTCCCCATAGCAGGGACTCAGTAATTTTTGCATCAGGTAATCCAGTGTGAACTTTTTAAATTGTAGAATTTTACAGCTGTACATGAACAAGGTAGGTTTATTTTTATTTCCAAGACAGTCCAGCAAGCATTGCATTCCATCCTCATGACTACAGTGTCCCTGTATCACTGCAGTGGAGAACACAAACAGAACTCGCACACGCAAAAACCAGCCATATCTTGGGAAGACCTAAGAATAAGGAGTGTTATTTGCACTACTTGTGAAGAAATAAGAAAAATCCTTAGACTTAAAATAGAAATGTTTTGTAAAAGTATCTGATGGATATTTCAAGAGCCATTAATATTTAAGAAGGAAATTGTCACTGTCTACTTGTAACTGCATTTTGTGGTAGTCTGACATGTTGTCACTACCCATTGCATTTGGGCTAGAAATCACATTAATATTCACCGAAAAAACAACCTCCGTCCATTAAACAGCTGCTTCAACTTCAAGCTTCTACCATGTGTGCAGTGTTACAGTTGAAGTAGTGCAGTTTCTGTTCTTAGTTTAGTCATGTTGATGTTTTTATTCACATTAAATTACAAAAAGAATTGCACAAAAATTTGAAAAATCACACTTAAGGTTGGGGTAATACTTGAAAAAGAACAGACTTCTGCTAATATTACTTCTGTAATGTTTTATATCAGAAGACCAAACAGTGCTTTTGACAGAGAGCAGCCAGTAGGACACACTGGTTCATTTTTTTTAAATTTCTTTTTTGGTTTGATATTGTATGGGAAATACGTACCTCTGCCATGCAGCTGTTCTCTAGCAGGCATACACTGGTGAAAATGTAGAAAAAGCTATAATTTAAAACATAATATAGCAGCTTTACTGGAAGGAACAATCTTACAGAAAATAATTCAGTTTGGACAAGTTGTAGCAATATGGAGGCATTTCTGGATAGGGATGATGAACGGGAACACTGGTGTCACTGACATAAAAAAATGTAACTTTTATTGTCATGCTTTCTGCAAAGCTCATTCAGGAAATGTCCCAAGCATCATTTAAAAAAATAATAAATCTCAGCACAACCCATCACCCCTTCCAAACTGATACTATCTGATCTGTTTCACCATAATCCAGTAGCTGACATTCACAAACCTCAGCTGTGACCAATTTTCTTTTTCATCATACCTAGAAGAGTGAAACTGAATGAGGAGAAAGCATACAAAGTTAGCTCTGTAGGTCCCATGTTGTTTTTAAGTATGCCTTATTTTATGAGCAGGATTTATACTTCAACAGTAAGAAGTGTACACACTGTATCTTGTGAAATAACAGAGCACAAATGGTGCAGCACATCATATCTGCTGGTGTCCATGAATTGAGCAGCCATTTCCAGTAATGCACATCTTAATGTAATTAGAATGATGCATTTCTTTTTAGATTTTTATTTTTTAAAATAGCTGTTGCAAGAATGGGTCTGTTGACCATGCCCGTATGCTATTAAATATACACTTTGGTGTGGACTTCTCTTCCTAATCTCTGGGCATTTTTCCTGTGAGTAGGATTGAAATTGGATCTGGAATAATACTTGAAACTTCTAACAACAACAGTGTCTTTCTGTTTTTTAGTATTATTAACAATGTTCTGTTGTTGTATTTTATGTTTAGATATTTTTTTTAATGGTTATTGTATCTTCTCAGGACAACCATTCCCAGCTGGTTTTTATTTCATTTTCATCTCTGGCTGTGCATGTAGCAAATTGAGTGCAGTTGTGGAGATCAAGCCTTTGCACATTATATGCAGAAATGTGCTTTGCATTCTCATTCACCACTTCCCACACCCCAGATGGGTTTCAGCATAGACTTGTCACTGTGCTAGTGTTCAAGCCTCTTGTGCTGAATTTTTTTGTTGGTCAAGAATAACGTGTCTACAGAACTGTGTTCAACCTCGCTTGCACTTACTCGAGTTATGTTTGTATAGAGATGTATTATGTGACTTTAAGACAGAAACTGGGAGGGAAAAATCCCAAAAAACAAAAAAACTCATGTATTTAACGTCTAAAACTACCTGTGCAGTAGAGGTTCTTCAAATTCCTTTTATAAGCCCCTCTTCCTTTTCCCTGTTACAGATAATGAATCTGCCTTTCTATGCATATAGGGTGTGGTAGTGCAATGGAATGAAGGGATTTTTTGGTCATTTATATTGTACCACGAAGAGATAACAAATTAACTTGCAGATGGGGAGGGTGAATACATCCTGATCTTTATATGCTCTTAAGTAAGTAAGAGTATCTGTCATGGGTATTACATACTCTATACATTAGACCTTTTTAAATGTATGGTTACCAGGTGATAGTTAATGTGATAAATGTATGAACTATGCTTGGTGTAATTGTTTAAATAATGTAAAGGTGCAGCATATTTTTAACCTGTCTAAAGCACACCCCCACCTCCTTTATAAGAGAGATTTGGAAGCTGAGCATGAAGTGTGGTAGAATAGATGTTGTGAAAACCAAGGTGATTACGATAGGGTTTGACATAGTGGTGAATAAGGTATGTAGCCTCTCTCTTTGAGAAAGTTCTTTTATAAAGAAGGTGGTGAGTAGTTCTTCCAGTTCTCTTTTGTGGTTTATTTTTTTCCTGAACTAAGAAGTTATTAATTAAAAAAAAAACCAAGATAAAAACCACTCACGTTTGTCTGCTTGTTTCTTCTATGGCATGTCCTCTCACCACAGAACTGGATGTATGCAACACTTTGTCATGCATGGTCAAGCAATTGGTTATTTGAATGTTGAGATTTTATAACTGAGCGTCATCCTTGAGCTTGTAGTAGCTGAAAATTACTCTGTGTCATTCCAAGGAATCTCTACAAGATTTATAACAAATTATATAAGCGAAAAGCTATTAAATATAATTTATTTTTGTCAAGAAGGAGGCTTCAAGATGTTAGTAAATAAAAAATTTAGTGCGTTTAAAATTGGATGCTATTTTGAATTGCTTGCAACACTGTAAACACTGAAGTGACAGCTCTGTATCACTGTTGATTTAACAGCAGGTTAGAGGAAATAACTGTTAAATTATGTTAAGCTTTACAATTATTAATTTGTATAAATTATAAGATTTCAAAGGGCTACTTATTAATGGAACTTTAAGTTTCCCTTTGCTGAGTAAATAGGAGTTTGCTGTGCCTTGTTCTGAGGTGGAAGACAGTGATGCCAGAGTTACTGAGCTTGAAATTGCAGCTTAGCATCTTAGGATTTTTGCACTACTGCCATTCCCACTCTTGAAGCTGGATATCCTTTCATGTTGTAGCTAATCTGTATTGCTGTTCTTAAACCAGCTGTCATGTGTTCTTCAGAGTAAATGTAAGAAAAATTCAAACTCACGTTAAAGTGATATAGAAGTGAAATTGCTGTGGTCTTCTGTGTACCATAGACAAGCTGATAGACCTTAAAACTTGTAATGGATTTGGCTTGCCCTGCACTTACATTGGTGGATTTAAGTGTTTTATACTCCATTATGTCAACAAATTACTTGTAACTAATTTAGCTTGAGGAAGCTGCTGACTTTGGGTTTATGCCATTCCAAGTGCTTGGCTCTGGCACAGCCTAAGCTCTTCCAAGCACTTCCCCTGTAAAGAGTAAAGAAAGATGGTAGCATGAGTGTGAGAGAGAATGCAATAGCTGGGCTGTTGCAGCTAGAATAGCTGACAATGTGCTAATCTCAACAGTGTTCATCTCAGAGGCCTCAGTGTGTCTCAGGTATTTGAATCAGCAGTTGGATAGGATAATTTCTATTTCAGGTCTAATACTGTTTTCCTTCAAGTTAATAGATAAATCCTGATATTTGACACTCTGAGATCAATCATTAGTTCATTTGTTGTGCAAACAAAATCCGTCCATTTTATATCAATTTCCCACCTTCAGTAGAACTGTGTAGTGCAGATGGCTTAGCCTACAGGAAGAGCTTAGGAAAACAAGTTGATTCCAGTAAAAGGAGTTAAGCATTTGAGAAGAGAGATTGCTCAATTCTAAATTATGCTCTGAAAATCTGGTTTCGTATGGCCTCTTAGAAATTTCTGCTGGAAGGGGCCTTATTTTGTACAGCCTGTCCTCTAAAAATAAACCAGCAGTCACTGTGTTACTGGAAGTTAGGAAAAGGATCTCTGGGTTTTAAAAATAATGTGTGGGGATTTTGCATTTTTTCCACCTATTATATCTAACATTCTTTCTGCATGATGTTTGGGAACTGAAATACCACTTATACAATTCCAAGGAATAACTTCTGAAGAAAACTAATTATACTATTTCCCACAGCAATGCTTAATATGCAAAGATTGCTTCTAAATCTGCTTTTCAGGTCATCCTTCTTTTTTTCACACTTCACCATTTTGACTTTCAATGAGGTAATTTCACCCTTAAGCTCATTAGTTTCCATAGGAAATGAATTATAGAAAATGCTAAGTGTGCCATATGAGGTTTAACATCAAAGACATTTCTAGACAGACCATGAATATATGTTCAAGCTATATTTGGTCTCTGTCGGGTATTATTTTCAGTGCTGCTGAGTTTCACTTGCTTGGTTTCATTAGGTAAGTGTTGGCTTAGGATTTATCTTCTTTCATTGCAATCCAAATTAATCTTTAATTGTTTAGAATAAAATCTAGTAGCTGACTGGACTGTTTGAGTCAAACATGTTTCGTTACGGCTTATGTGCCCTTCTCATGGAAACAAAACCACAAACCAAACAGTTACAAGTAGGATGATCTGTAACCAGCTGCTCTTAAAGAAAAGTTATATTTCTGAAAGGAAACCTCAGGTCATGTTTCTGCTAGGAAGTTCCAAATGGATTTTTCTTGCTACGCTGAATCCTCAAAGTTAGGGTGTGTTAGCTGCATGTGAAGTGTATTGGATTGTTTTCCCATGGAGCCTCCATTCTCAACCATTTTAGCCACCTGTAAGAAGCAGCACACAGGATTCTGGTCAGCTTGTATAGCTTCAAGCTCTCTTTAAACAATGAAAAAAACAGGGAATGCCCATGTATTTTTGTCCTATTTACCTAACATAGTGGCTAGAAGGATTGCCTAACATATTCCAGAACAATTAGTTTAAAGTGAACATTATTCAAATCCAGTTTTACTGAAAATGCTCCTTCTGTTTGTTAGCTCTTTACCCATGTAATTATGATTGAAATTATTTTCCTCCTCTTCAGCAAGTGTTCAGCATGCTTATCCCTCTTGCTGCTTGGTTACAGTGTGCAGAACAGCACAGTACACTGACTGCATGACCACAAAGGTGCAGTTGTCATTAAAAAGTGGCAGCATATTGCTCAGAAGTAATGTAGTTGTTAGGAGCAAAATAAATGCCATAAGTAATACTTTATTCCACATGGAGTTTTCAGAATTCCTGAAGTTTTTGCTATGACTTTTTTGGAGAGTAGGGGTGGGAGCTGTTTCTATTCCTGGGGGTGGAAAAACAAAAAAGAGAATTTCAAAACAGTTCCTTTTAGCTCTAAGAGGAGGAGAATCTTCTATAAATATTTTTTAAGCTACAAAATGTGAGTACCTCTTTAGCAGTTACTAGGAACTTCAAAAGGCAAGTCAAGAAGCTTCAGGTTAATTCTGCCACAGGTTGTTCTCCTGGCTCCCTAGGGCTGACCAGGAGTGAGGGGATGGTCTCTGTGCACCTGCAGCATGCACCAGTTAGGCATTAGGTTTCAGTGTAATCAGAATCGTTTGAGTTGGAAGGGACCTTAAAGATCATTTAGATCCAACCCCCCAGCTTGAGCAGGGCCACCTCCCACTAGATCAGGTTGCTCAGAGCACTGTCCAACCTGGCCTTGAACACTTTCAAGGAGGGTGCATCCACAGATTCTCTGAGTAACCTGTTCCAGTGTCTCACCACACTCATGGTGAAGAATTTCCTCCTAATGACTAATCTAAATCTCTCCTCTTCCAGTTGAAAACCATAACCCCTTGCTATGTGGCAGAAGACACCACCTTTGAATAGTTGGTGTATCAGACCGAGGAATAGCAGCATTGTTCAATATTGCATGTTCTCAAGAGGAGGGCCTGTCTTAACATATATATAGAGTCCACACTGAAAACATGACATCTGATTTGGTGCTACAGCAGGCAATGATGGAAGAGGAACAGTGTTGAGATAAGCAGTACATGAAAGGGACTCCAGACTCCCCTAGAAACCAGCCTCTGGCAGCAGTCTTCACAGATTTTGAAAAAAACTGTTCTTTGGTTACACAGGTAGGTAAACAACTGCCGTATTACTTCTCTGGGTTATTGAGGAGAAATCAAAGAGGATCTAATCCTGGGGGATTTGCTGAGCAGCTTTAGTGCTCTTTCCATGGCAGCAACTTCTAGGAGGTTGCTGTACTGGAGCACACTGTGCCATGGACTGGTGCTCTGAGCCAATGCCCATACAATTTAGTCTTGCATTGAAATAAACAAAGTAAGTGTCATTACGTTATAGAAACAAATAGTTAAACATGCTTTTATTGAAAAAAGCCACTTTTTCCAGCCCTTCAATTGCAGCTATTGTCAATAACTGAACACAAGTACTTTTCAAAAGTAGATTTTAGTACTTCAGTCTTTAGAAATGTACTAAGTAACAGAACATTGACTCTGAATTACAATGTATATTAATGCAATGCAGTGGAAGTTGTTATTAAGAGTACTGAAGACCTGTAAATATTTTCTTAATCATAAATATATTAACTCTTCCCTTTTGAGTCATGTAGGATTAATTTAAAAAAATAACCAGCCAAAAAACCCCAAACAACTTGGAGCCAGACTTTGGTGCTTCAAAACTACTCAGCACAGTCTAGTAATAACAGATGTGGAGGCTTGTTTGCTGTTCATGTTTGAGTCATCTGCTAAAAGGTATATATGTTTTTGCTTCCACTGCTACCAGGTGCAAGGCTTCTATGTCTATGTAGACACGTAAACACACACACAAAATATAAGGCAAACCCTACAATCTTGCATTACAATCTCAGACATTAGTGAGTGGCAAATGGAAGCTGTAATAGCAGGTGAAATCATAAATAATTCAGTTAAATATTTTGGGAATCAGACTTAAATGCCTTCACACAGAAGGATTAAGATAACTCAATGCACACTGTAGCTAATACAGGGAAAGACTTGTACAGATTTCTTTCTGACACCTGTTTTATGACATACTATTGCTTCAAAACAATGTGCTGTGTCAGCTGCAAAATACAGCTTCATAGGGAATTTCTTAAGAAAGCAAAATAATTCTAAGCTGTGGACTGAATATGCTGGAGTCTTGCAAAGATGGGAAAACATCACCTGGAGGCAGTTAAAATACTGATGGGGTTATTAAAGGCAACAGGACCAGCAGGCTTCCCTTTGGTTCAGTGCTCCATTGAATGCCCTGGATTTGTAATCAGAGAGGCACAGCCACTTAGTAGTTCATTTCTAAAGAAAATGAGCACTCCAAGTTTGCCCCACTTCATTTTGTCTTTTAAGTCTTGCCTGCTAAAGGAAGGGAAATGGTTCTCTAGTCAATGTGCGTTACCAGCAATAAATAGCTGGTGGATATAGGATCAGAGCAGCTGCAGAGATCCAAGTGTTGGATGCTGAAGACTGTTCCTACTATTTCAGTGTTTTTGTACACATGCTCCTGTTGCCATGAGGAGTCACTTAAAAATGTAGCGGACTGAGGTGTTTTAAGCCTATGTAGCTCTAACAAAGATAGAAGTAGCATCAGGTTGCTCAGCTTCTCAGCTTGTCTGTTCCTTCTCTAAGGAGTTAGGATACAAGATAAACATGGTCTTCAGTATTAGAGATGCTAATGTTTGGTAACTTTGTGCTAGAGTGCAGAGGTTATGAAATGCTTAAAATCAAGTTTACAAAACTGTATGCAAACATGCACGATTTAATTCTTACCCTGGGCTTGGCAGGGCTTGGATTGTACAGGCATACCTACACATGGAATTTAAGTTCTGGCTCTCAGCTGAAAGACTCAAATGATACCACAGTGACACTACATTCCAGATAAGAACCCTGATGTAACCAGCTCAGATGACTTTTATTTCTCATTCCAGAAAAAGTACTCTGGAGTCTGAAGTATCAATTCAGAGGATGCCTTCTGATATAAACCACATCAGAATTCCATGCAGAAGAAAAGACATGAGATCAGTGAGCATAAGGGAAGATATTTGTGCTGTGCCATGGTATGTGTAGTCGTAATCCCAATCTCAGCAGGTAGGAGGCAAAGACCACTCTTAAAGTTGCATCCATCTATGACTTCCATGCTGAACTACTTGGCACAGCTTCCACTCTGAACACCGTTGCCTCTATTTTTGTGAACTGGTGTTTCAATTTTTCTGAGGGCATCACTGGACTGAAGCTTGGTATACTGTAGGAGCAGCTAGGGTCTCACAGGTCTGTGAGGTCTCAGTAGTATTAGCATCTACACCTGATGAGCTCTGCTGGTCCCTGGAAGAGCTAGAGGCCTTCACGTGACTTTTGTATAAACCAGGGGATTTTGCCCAAAGGGGCAGATTTGCTGTGAGGCTGGTAGAACTGTTCCCCTCAACAGTCAGAATCACTGGCTGTTTATCTGGCACTGCTGGAGCATACACAGCATTTTGCTCTGACAGATGATCTCCACATTGGTTAAGATGCTCTGCTAGGACCAAAGGCTGCTGATCATCTCCTTCTTCAGAAATAACAAAAACGGGCTTGTTTTTATCTGTTTCTGTCATAAGCTCCTTCGTTTTTGAGCCATTGACCAAGTTGATTTTCAGAGGGTTGGAACTTTCTAGAGGATTTTTGGGGCTTTGGTTGTTAACTGGAGATGTGGCTCCTAGATGTCTTGACTGATCCAAGGACTTCACATGTTTGCTGTCAGGGGAACTGGCTAAAAATCCAAAATAAGGGTTCCCAAACCTGTATTTCTTCAAATTGCAGGAGCTTAGCTGCCGTTGCCTTTGTGCAGACAGAGTGAGGGGGTAGGAGGCATTACTGGCAGATGAGTCAGAGTAAACAGTCTCTGATGCACCCTCTATCTCAGTGGCTGAGATGACCTTTCTGGTTGGGACACCTTGAGATCTCACTGCTGTAGGGAATCCCTGCAAAAAAATAATAAGGAATAGGTAGGTGTGCTGCAAGAAGCAGCTGTCTTGAGAAACTTTGATCCCAAGGGAACTAGAAGCTAAAATTCCTTGTTATGTTAGAGGTAAGGTAGGGAAACCCTGCAAAAAAATAATAAGGAATAGGTAGGTGTGCTGCGAGAAGCAGCTGTCTTGAGAAACTTTGATCCCAAGGGAACTAGAAGCTAAAATTCCTTGTTATGTTAGAGGTAAGATGCATTCATTAGCAAAAATTAATATTATCTTTAAATTAGGTAATAGCCCCATGATATTACCTTCAAAAAGGAGAATAATCCTTTGTTAGCTTTGTTACAAGCTGTTGGTTTGATTATTATAGTCAGTGAGACCTAGATAACCCTCCCACATATATGGACTCCTCACAATGCAATAGGGATACAGCAATGAAAAGAAATTCAAGGCACAACTATGGAAAAAAGGTACATGTCAGAACATTCAATGAGATAATCCAGTCTGAAGGCACTTCAAAATGTTTTTCTGGTCTGGGGATCATTTCTTGACCAGTTGATAACTGCTGGCCAATACAGCTTCTTAGTAGCTCAGGAAAGCCTGAAATGAATGATGATATAGTTGAGCAGAAGGGCTTCCCACACACCACAAGAGATGGACTGACATGGATCACATCTGCAGGTTGGAAAGGCAAAGCAGGGAAAGCGTGTCCCATTGGCAAGCAGCTGGGAATGCTGGGCACAGAGCCCGACCACCATCTCCTCCCCTCCTTGCAAGACTTACATTGTTGTCAACCAGCTTTGTGAAAGGACTGCTGGTGGTCCAGCTACACCATTTTTTCTGTAGCTGTGGTATTGGAGCCAGGAAGTCATGGAAAGTGCGGGCACTCCAGGTACGCTGCCTGGGACAGTGATTTTCCTGCTGGACATTCCCCTTCTCAGCAGCATCTGCTCCTGCAGTGTGATTAGAAGTCAGCCAGTCAGACACAGAGGCTGGGCTTGTGACACTTCTTTTTAGGTTTTTGTCCTGAAAAGAGTAAATAAAAAGATAATTTGTAGTATCTTATATCAAAAGGCTTTAAAAACATGCTATTAGTGAAGTGACAGATTTCTTCAGTAGTTGCTTTCTCAGGACAAGACACAGGAACGCACCTTCTCATCGTTGCTCTTCCAGTGTGCTGCCTGCAGCCTCACCTCACTTCACCAGTTTGGGGCTTTACACTGAATTGGGAAATTTCAGTTACATAGGAAAACAAATTCCTACCACTCTCACTAACCAATATGTAAAATACCTACACCTTTATTTTACTGTAGATACCTGACAGATCACAATAGTAAACTTCACTGTGTAAAACATTTCTTCCCCTCTGCTTGGCTCTTGGATGTGCCTGTCTGGGGAAAGAAAGCTTCAGTGGGGATGGAGCCCTCCTGAAGAAATCCAGAAGCAAGCAATGAAAGAATTAGAAATGTAAAAAATGCATGATTCAGGAGGGAAGACTGAACTGAGTGGTGTTCCTTGTCCTGTGTTAGGGAAGAATTAATAGAATTAAGAGAATTAAAAGAACGAGAAAATAATTGTTCTCGATGTCTGGTGAATGGAACAAGAGGCATGAGGCCCAGACTGGAGTCAAGGAGATTTTTATTTCACATAAGAAATGCTCTTCAGGTGGAAAATGTGCTCTAGCACTAGAACAAGACATCCAGACAGGTGTAAAATTGGCATATTCAGATAGTGAGACCACATGAAACCAATGTCACCAGCTATGTGTGTAAGCAGAGTTGACACGGGAATGACCTGTAGGTGACTTCTAAAGATCTCTGTGCCCGCTGGTTCTGGCGGGATTTTCGGTATCAGGGAAGGGCCCCCGGGGCGGCTCCGGTGAGAAGCTGAGGAGCTGCCCCAGCCCCAAACCCGGCCAGGGAGCCATCAGAGGGACAACAGATGCGCCTCTGCCATTAACATACGAAGAACCAGCTGTAACACCTGAGCAGAGCGAGCGACTGGAAAGAAGAGCTGAGCTGGAGGTGAAAGGCAGCGCCGGGGTGAAGATCCTGGTGGTTTGTGAGGAAGGAGGTGCCCAAGCAGAAGTTTCCCTGCAACCTGTGGTGAGATGGCAGCTGTTCCCCTGCATTCATGGAGGAAGGTGCTGGAACGTTATCTGGGAGTGCCAGGAGGGGTGAACTTGGCCAGGGGACTTGGATTTTGTGGCCAGGGGACTCTGATGATGCAGCTGTGGAGGCCCCGGGCCAGGAGAGGGGCCTGTTCCTGAAGCTGCCGTGACTCTGCCAGACGCTGGGTCTCATGGAGGGGAGGGGTTCGTGAGGAGCTCTGTCCTGGGGAAGCAGGGGAGGACTGTAAGGAGTCCTTCCTGAGAAAGGAGCAGCAGGAGCCACCAGCCTGTGAACTGACTCTAAACCCCATCCCCATCCCCCTGTGCTGCTGGGGGGAAGGAGGGAGAGAAACCGGGAACAAAGTAAGTTGGGCCTCGGAAGAAAGGAGGGGTGGGGGGTAAGGTATTTAAGCTCTGCTCTTTGTGTCCTGTGAGCATCTGATTAGTGTGAAATTAAATTATTATCCTTGTCCTTTGTCTCGACACACAAGCTTCTCGTTGGGCTGTGTCCTCCTCACCCCAGAGTGTGTGAGGGGAGAGCGGAGTGAGCGGCCACGGGGCTGGTTCTTTGCTGCAGTGTTGGGCCCAAACCACGACACCCTCCATACTTAATAAATTCTGATGTTGCATTTCAAATCACAATTTTTGTCCTTAATATTGATGTGGGTTTAGAACCAGAAAAGTGAAAGAATTCCTGACTGTTCTCTGATTCCTTTAAATCTTTCTAATACTTCACCTGTTATTTATATAAGCCCCCTGTTCCCCAACTCTACATGTATTTTTAATTTTCAGCTGTGTGAATATGAGTGTCATGAGAAGAATGTAAAATCCACATTCCCAAAGTTTACATAGTCTTTAGAGAGAGTCTGAAATAAATCCCACTCTGTCCTGGATTTAGAAGTCCTGAGAAACCAGAAACTTGTCATTTGTTATTCCTGTTAAACTGAGTCTCTCAAGTTTCTGTAAAATCAAATAAACTAGTTAAAATATCATAATGGAAATGGACGAGCAGAGAGACAAGAAATTAGCTACAACAGCAGAAAAAAAAAAGCACCTCAGTAGGAAGCTGGGAGAGGCTTCAGGCTCTGAATAAGTTTGTTTCAATATTAAGCTCTTATCTCAGATTTTATTAAAGTAACAATCTTTATGTCTAAGTTTATAATCCCAATGTCTTCTCAGAAGCCTCTAAAGACTGTCTGAGGATTTATTATTCTAATATTATTATAGTTACATCCAAACTGGTGTAAAAAGCTAGCGACTGGTTTTGAGACAGATACACTGGAAGTAACTATGAAGATGAATAACGTATTTTCAGATTTAAAAAAAATGTTTTAGGAAAAATGTTTCTGAAATCTCAATGATAATACTCAGACCTTTGCATTGGAGTCTCTGAAACTTGTAATGTCTGAATATCAGTCAGAGGTCATAATTATAAATTAGCCTAAGGCTGAATGATGACTTAGAGCAAATGGGACTAAGAAAGCCATGACCCTCCAGGAGGACACCTCAGAAGGCACCTGGAAGCATCTTGCCCTCCATTTCCTCTTGCTAGTCTATGTGCAGAGGTCTGTGTTTGCTCTCCCAGATCTTGCCTCCTGACAGGGGATTGATTTCTTCAAAGGGATTTTAAGTTTCTCACTAGCTTCTGCCTAGTGGGGCTGAGGCTCATACTTCCTGGGGGGCTCTAGACCAAGTGACCAGACACCATTTCTCATAAAGGTTTAGATATTTTTTTTAAATGAAAGCTCCTTATATCTTGCTTGGTTAAGTGTTTTGGGTGAAGTGAGTCTGACAGCGTTATTTTCTGTACTGTAAAGGCTCAGGCTTTCACACGTTTTTTCACACAAGGGTGACTTCTTAGCAGCTGCCAGGACAGTGGTCACACTCCAGTGGACAGTTCATCCTCCTTGCTTAGTGCTGGTCCACAAAAGTGGTGCACCAGACCCTCGGCAGGGCTCAGAGGCTCGAGTCAGGAGCTGGCTGGCCAGCTGCATGTTAAGTCCTAGAAATAAGCGTTTAGAAATCAAACCGTAACCATGTTTGTATTTCTAACATCCAGTAACCCTGAGTAACCCAGGTGCACTGAGGAAATCCCATTAGAGTGCAGGTTTGTAGTTGGCCTGCTGTGCTCAATTTCCACCCCCCTTGGAGACAACAGTCTTCAGCTGTGGGGAAAGACCCCAGTGCCTTTTAAAAGGTCCTTTAACCTTCCTGGGTAGATTTGTGCTCCTTAAGGGATTAGGTTGAGAGCACTGACTCACTTGACAGCAGCATGGACGTCATGGAGGAGGTGCCTCCTGAGGTAAGAATGTGGTGAATAGTTCTCGTTTTTTGGGTTGTGTTCACTTAGAACTGGTTTATCAGTCCATGTTTTATTTTTACATATATACGTATGTATGTGTTTCCTCTGCTAGATTGCTTGCAGAAGGGACAGCAAACTAGAAATGTTTTTCTTGAATGTATTTGTTCATTCTGACTAGAGTGAGGAAAAGAGGAAGGAAACCCGGTTTACTCCCGGTCTAGAAGCTGTGTTTGTCTGTGACTGCCACCAGGTGAAGCTCTCTCTGCCCGAGAGGAGAAAGTCGTGCAGGTGCTTTGGCACAGACACAGCCCATAGCGACCTGTCCTGCAGAAGGCAATGGGTCCAGGCAGGGGAAGGCACCAGAGATGTTTTCCTTCTTTCCCATTTTTTGTTAATGTGGCTAACTGGAGGAAAAGCTTACTTAGTGTCTTATAACAGGACAGGAAAATCCTGAGCAGCCCAGCTCCTGGCTAGTTTCCTCATTGAGTGCAGGGATACAGAATGCTTTTGTTTTGTGAACTGTGACTGAAGCTATGCATTGGACTGGCCTGGGCCATGTGGGTACCTTGTGTTGGTTGTCTGTCTTGTGGGGAAAAAAAAGAGGGCGCTGGAGAGGGGAGTGTTGGCCTGGGAAAGGCTTTAATATAGGCTGGTACTGGAGGTGCTATGTCAGGCACTACTCTGAGTTGTAGAGCTGGCAGACCTGAGGCTTCTGAGCTATTATATGTGTCTAAACAAATACTTGATCAGGAACACGGGAAGGAGCTAAAATAAGAGCAAACTTGCTGAGCTGAACCAGCTTTCTGTGTGTGTATTTTAAAGGACCCCAGTGCTTTCACTTGAGGCGCTTGATTTTTGGGGAATATACTGTTAATTTTCACCTCAGCCTGGTGAGACAAGTCAATAGCTTTCTGATAGGCTGAGGAACTTCCCTGGCCACTTAGGAGCATTGGGCAGGAGCAGGTCTGACTGCCTGGTCCTTTGGTGCTACAAGTGATGTTTTTAATGGAACATCATTTTTGCCAATTAACCCATTTTTGAGGGCTGGTCCTATAGCCTGCTGGCAGACCTCTGCATTATCACCTACCAACTCCAGGGCAGATTCTGAACTTGCTTTTCTCACAGCTGGGAAGATACTGGTTTGGGGGATCACATCATTTGATGGTAGCTCAGCTCAAGGCTTAGGAGAACTGCCTGGCTCAGTCACTACCTGTCTTGCAAGCTGGGCAGTAAGCATAAATGGACAGATATGACAAGTGCTGTCAAAGATGGGCATCCTGTGGCTTCTTGAGCTTCTAGAGATGTCAAAGAGCATTCCTACCTGTATTCTGTAAGTGGTAAAGCTCAGCCCACTGGCCCCAGGTCCAGCAGAAATAATAAACACTTCATCACTCCCAGTCTCGGTGGTCACTGCAGATGTGGAGGAGGGCACATCTTGGTCAGTGTCCTGGGGAGACCGTTCTGTGCTGCCACCACAGGAAGGGACTGAGAAAGGAGAAAAAAATCAATAAAGACAGCTTGCAAGTGTCCAAAACATCTGTTCCCTGATCTTCTCTCCTCAGGCAAACTAGAGCAGACTCAGACTGACACACCAGCCAGAGTAAAACTCAAGCCAACAGTTTGCTCTCCTGAAACAACAAACTTTTAAAAACAAAATGGAATGGGAAAAATCCCCTTGGGTCTGCTTTCCAATAAAGACAGAACCAAAGTGAAATATGCTAAACACATGGGGTTATGCTGCAGATCAGCTCAACTCATTCTTTATTTGTATTGATTTATCCCTGTTAATACTGGGAGCTGAGCTTTTTGTTGCAAATGCTTTTTGCTTGAACCCTAGCAATGCTGCTCCCCAAAGCTTGCTCACCTGGTCCAGGTCAGGAGAGCTCTGGTCACAACCTCCTCAATGATTTTTCGATAGAAGGAAAGGGGAAGTTGTCATGGTTGGGCGCACAGAATTATCTTATTAGGAGGATACTCTTGTAAGACTTGTGTGTAATGGCTGGTGGTTTAGTGGGAAACTGATGGGTGTGTAGCAACACTACATGAAGTAGCTCCCTGCTGGTCTTCACCAACCAACAAGGGTGAAGGGGCACTAACAGTTCATATGTTGTCACTCAGAACTGCAGCAAGTGACAGTATCTGCAGCTTGGCTGGGGGACTTTTGTTCTTGAAACACACTGTAAAGTAAAGGTCACCTCATGCAGTCTCATCCACAACGTTATTTAGAAAGTTACCTCCAGGAGTCAAAGTTGTGCAAAGCCAACGTAAGCATTGTAAAATTTATTCTTTCTGGACAAGATTAACCAAAGGGCAGGTTAAACTCTTCCACAATTTACAGATCATTATAAGTTGTTTGTAGCAGTCTGGACCACTTGCTCTGCTAACCCAGTATCTCTGCAGTGCCATGTGCTATGACAGCTTTTGTTGGCAGAGTCCTGGAGCTCCTTGCCAGGGGAATTACCCTACCAGGGAGAGCAGCAAGGGATGTTTCTCACAACAAAGGCTTTCTGCTGTGAAGTTGCTCTCCAGCTGTGTATGAGCAAAGCACTGAGGACTGCAAGGAAGGAAGATCTGATGAACTGGCCAGGGGCTGGGCTGCCCTGCCCTGCTCCAGCCACTGCCCCGTGCTTACCCGCCTGCTCCCGGCTGACAGAGTGGTTGTTGTTTTCATTCTCCCGACTTGGCACCACCAGCTGGAGCTCATTGATATCGACAGCAGAGTTCTGGATTCCGTTCTACAACTCAGAACATGCCCCAGTAAACATCATCAGATAAACATTGCAATAGCCAATATGAGAGAGAGAAACAGAAATTGCTGAAGCCATTAGCACTAACCTCCTGGTCACTGCATGCGTTGGACGAGCTCCTTTTGGGGCACGTTCTCTGCCTGAAAAGGAGAGACAGCAACAGCAACAACAACAACAAGCCCACCAGTGAGTTAAAGATCCACAGATTAGAAGGTCTCAGCTGTGCCCCTCCAGCAGGTTACAAGCTCTCCTGCCTACGCGAGCATCCAAGATACTTGCCAAAGCTCAGGGCAACAAGGCCTGTAGGCCAGAGGAAGAAATTATATGCTTATGTAGTGGAAAGTCAGCTGGAGAAGGACCTGTCATCTTCTTCCCATAATCCCTGCAAAAACAGGAATAGACTTCAGGCCTCTGCCAAGCCCTACCAGGCTCCCCTCGCCGACTGCTCTCTCATGTCAGTAACTAAATAGCAGGACTGGAATCCTGCCTTTGGTCTGGGCAGGGACATAGTTCTTATCCTCTTAGACAGAATATTTCATCTGTGCAGCCAATATTGCATGCTGGATTATATTTAGCAAGCAGAGAGCATCAGATGTTGTTCATTTGTATGAACGTTTTATTGAAAGACAAAAGCACATTCTTAACCATCTTTTCCACATTTTTACTAAAACTGAAATTATGAAACAATTAGTGTTCTTGGCTTTTGGATGAATAAGATGTGAAGATGTCACAGAGAAAGGCCGGCAGTGACAAAAGTGATGACTGAAACAAGTGTGTTGTTTGTCATTGGTTACAGCAGTTCTCCATGGGATGGTGCAGAGACACATGGGAGCATGAAGGCCCTGACCAGATAGGATGGGACCTAAGTTACCATTTTCCCTACTGTGTGTGCTGTTGGCTGACATTTTTCCTTTTCTTGTTGGAGGGGTTGGTTTGTTTTAAGGCATTTAATATCCTCCATACAAGTGCTTTTTCATAGTGATGTGCTGAAGTCAAGATTTCAAGTTTTCAGTCTACATTTCATCACTGTTTGTTTTTAAGAATGGGGACTCAGAGGCCACTCGATGAGGCTGGCCAGGAGCCAGTGTCTGCTCCATCTCGGGCATGGTGGGTTTCATTCCTTCACTGTATCATTGGATCACTCAGAAAATGCTTGCTGACTGACAAGTGAATTGAGGGAGGAAAAAACCTATGACGCACCCCCAGCTTGTTCCTAGGGAATACAGAGGAGACTACAGAAAAAGAGGAGACTGAGTTGGCACTTGAGAATTTCATCCAGAGGAGGTACAGATGGATAGCTGTTACTCCTGGAGAGGCAGTGGCATTAGTCACTACTTGAGCTTCTTAGGGGAACTCAAGAGGCTCTTCCTCAATGCACTTATCCAGGGAGAGGAAGCAGGAAAAGGCTTCCAAGTAGGAGTGGTGTTGCCTTGCCAAGCAAGATCAAATCAAGTAGGAAATACTTTGGAGTAAAAAATGTGTGCAAATATTTCACACACACACACACACACACACACAAACCAGAAACTCTTTTTTGGCCTCAGAACCATTTTGGCAGAAGTGACCTGGCAAAACATGCCCTAAGATAATGAATTAGTATGGTGGTCAAGGCATTCAGGTAGATGGTGAGAGAGCTATGTGCAATTCCCTCCTTCCTCCACACTGCATTATTTTTTTTAAATCTCTTTCTTTCCTCCCAGCTCTTTCCTGCCAAAACCTATGACAAAAATTTAATCGAATGTGATATATTCCTATGAAATATTCTTGTTTCAAATAACTGACATGTTACAAGCAAATTTGTTAAAGTATACCCACCCAGGGATTAAAGAGCACTAAGGGAATGTTCTCCTCTAAGAAAACACAACTTGGCACATATTGCTTCCACACTGAACACCAGGCATTGGCAACTCAGACTTGTTAGTTATCTGGATGGTCTCACTTTTGGGTTTGTTGTTTGAACTTTTAGCATGACTTAACAAACACAGTATTTGAGTTTTCAGAAGCACAAATAAAAATGTTCCTCAGATGCTTGTATACAGCTGACCCATTTATAACATATTCATATTCTGTGGGAGAAAGCTGAAAAGATGAAATATTAATTTTAAATATCTTGGCAACTGACAGCCATGGTAAACTAGGATAGATAGAGCATGTTCTGCATTAAGAAACTGAAATACCTTGCATCCATTTGGCTTCTTTCCTTGCCATTCTTTATAGATGTTGTGCTCTACAATATTTAGCAGGCTTCATAACTACCTTGAAGTCAACACTGCATTTTGGCAGAATGAACCAAAAGGATAGTAAGGTGCCCCTGGCAAAGACAAGTTTTCTGTGCCAGTATGGTAGAATAAGGGGCAATAAGAGAAGGAAGAGTCCTGTTCTTTTCAAAGATTAAATTATGATAAAAAAATGGTAACTGGCTGACATGTCCCCATTTTAACTTTTTCTTCCTTCATCCTACGTTGGGTATTGAGTGCCTCATTTCTGCTGAAACTATTTGATATAGAACTATTTGATTTTGATCTGTTGGAAGCCAACACACACAAAAGGTACGAGTTTCTACATTCCACCAGTAATTTTGATGGAGAATTTTTTTTAATAACTTTTTTTATTTCAGAGCTGCTGCCTCCATGCCTGGAGAGATGTGCTAGTTTGGAGGACTGGGGATCTTAGTCTTTCTTTAGCTCACTCTCCAGTTGAGCTACATCTCCTGTGGCTGTCTTAGGTTTCCAGCTAAACCAGCCTGATCTGCAGAGGGACAGAAATGGAGGACACAGGTGCAACAGGCAGGGAGAGGTTGTGCCTAGCACAAAGATGGCAGAGGAAAGGTCTGGTTTTATCCCAGAAGTGACTAGGAGTCTCTAGGAGGGCACTATGTGTGAAGGAAGAGGGTCACCCCCAGATGACAATCAGGCTGCAGTCAGTGTCTGGCAGGGCTGCTGGCATGTGGAGAGATGGCAGCACACCATGGCTTGATGGAATAGCTGTACAGGGAGGCAGGAGTAATTGGAAACAGGTCACTGGCAGGCCATGCAGATATGAAATGCAGTTGCAGTCCATGGGTTGCAACCATAGAGCAAAAGTCTGACTGCATTGGATGGGATTAAAATTAAATAAGGCTGATGTGCCTGTTGTTCTTGGGGCTTGGGTAAGAAAATAAAAAATACCCCATTACTCAGACCAGGCCTCATAGCCAAAAGTAATTAGAATTATTGGCCAACTAACAACTAAAGCTTTCATTCCCTCCCCAAACAGCAAACAAAAGCTGCAGTGTGGCAGAGACTTGGAGTTTCCCCAGAGAGCTTTTCCCTGGCTGAATGCAATGAGCCCGAGCAGACACTGCTGACAACTTGGTGCATTGGAGTGGCAGTAGGTGCCAAGCCCAGCCCTGGCCATCTACCCCTGGCAAGGCAGAGCCTGCTACTTTTAGCTGAGCTAGAGCAGCAGATAGAAATGGGGAGGGGGTGGGAATAGTTAAACCTGGTACCAGAGGACCAAATAAAGTGCAGAGGAAAGAAAGTGGAAGGCAAATTTACAAGGCTGAGGGATTGAAGGCTACTGTCAGCATCCTTTGCAATGGCCCACTCCAGGCACAGTGAGTATTATCATTTGTTAGAGGATTGGTCCTATTTCTGAGCATGCTGTGGTACTAAAGCACCTTTGTTTCTCCCGTCAGCCCACCCCTTGCAGCCCTGCTGTTTTCTGCAGGGAGGATAGGCAGTGGCTAAGACACACTTGACGCCTGATTTCAAGCCTTTATTTAGGGCAAAAACCATAAAATAGAGTTTTGTGGGCTCAAACTTGAAGTTCAGATGTGCTTAATGGCCTCTGCAATCTGATACTGAGCTGTGTTAAAAACCCCACAGCTGGAAAGTGTAGGTGAGCTCCAACCAGCACAGGTCATGGCATCACTTCCACATGTGTCACATCTCACTTAAATGCTTTAAGTTTGACAAGAATTAAAGTATTTTAATCAAGGCCTCCCTGGAACAGCATGCAGAGAATACAGGCAGCTGGGATAGCAAATGTCCTTTAGGGAGGCTAAAGGACTAAGGATGGTCTCTATATACAGTCAATAGCAGACTGAGGTTTATTTTCCTTTAAAAGGAGTTGTAGAGCACTGGAAAAGCACAAGTGCTGGTGATACCAGAAGCAAGTCTAATCCTGGTCCTGCACCACAGGACGCCTAGGAGGATGTATTTGCAGTGACCAGAATATGCAAATGTTTGTGTTGGGGGCAAAAAAATGTGTTCAGTTTTTCTCAGTTGGTTAGCAAGAGCAGAATATTGGTTTATTTTGTAAACATCTACCAAGCAAAAAGCAAAACTGTGTGTGTGAGCAGCATGGCCTGACTTTCTAAACAGGCTACACAGAGTAAGTGAAATAAGCCAGTGAAATCTCAGATTGTTGGTGTGCTTTTTGGTTTAAAGAATACTCTGCTTCATGGATAGTTACAGTGAAATTAAATAGGGCTAATGATGTAAGAACAGCCTACTCAACGTGTATCAGCCCAAACTGCTGCCATAGTGAAGGGAGTGTGTTTCTGACTCTTCTGAAGATTGGCAAGGATATAAAAATTAAATATTTGGTATCTGGAAGGCATTTTCCACCAGACATTTTCCTTTAGAGCTAGCAAAAAAATTGTGGTCTAAATTAGTGTTCTGCAAGCTCTTTAAAAAGGAAAAGGTTAGTTAGATGTAACATATGCAGGTTTAACTCTTAAAACTACGAAAATCTCAGACCCTGAAAGCAGGGATGC